TTGTCCTCTGACTTTCACACATGCACTGGGGCATGCACACACACATGCACTGGGGCATGCACACACACATGCACTGGGGCATGCACACACACATGCACTGGGGCATGCACACACACATGCATTAATCATTCACGTGCACGCAACCCCCCCCCCCATAAACTGAAAAAAATCTGTTGTAGGTGTGGGGATGAAAAAGAATATAAGCTGGGCATGGTGGCACATGCCTTTAATCTCAGCACTCTGGGAGAGCAAGGTGAGTCCAATTGACAGTGAGTTCCAGGCCATACAGGGCTAAATAATAAGACCTTTTCTCAAAACAGAGAGGAGGACAAGGCAGAGGAGAAAGAGGGGGAGGAGGATCTCTGAGTGTTTAATCATTGAGCTCAAACACATAAAGACAAGCAACAGGGCTGAACTTCCCATTAGGCACAGTAGATACAAAGTTTTTGGTATGTAATATTTCTAGGGTTCAATAAAAAGATATTATTTCCTTTTAAGATTTGTGTGTGTGTGTGTGTGTGTGTGTGTGTGTGTGTGTGTGTGTGTGTGTGTGTGTGTGTGCAGTGCCCCCAGAGACCAGAAGAGGGAATTGGATCCCCTGGAACTGGAGTTACAGGGAGATGTGTGCACCCATGTGGATGGTGAGAACTGAACCTAAGTCCTCTGAAAGAGCAACTAGTGCTCTTAATCATGGAGCCATCTCTCCAGCTCTGCATTTCCTTTGAAAAGTAAGGTTTAAAATGACACTCAGGTGGGAGGAAGTGTTTTAATTCAGAATGCTAAGATAACTGTCTAGATATTAGCAATGTCTAGTTTACAATAAGGAAGGCTCAGGGCTATAGTAACTATGTCCTCTGTTCACTGTTTCTTTTTGTTGCTCTTTTGTTCCATTTATTTTTGTTGTTGATTAAGGCCCATGAATGAGGGGAACTATGGTATTTGTTTTTCTCAGTCCGGCTGACTTAATTCATTTAATACGATAATCTCCAGTCAAATCCATTTTTTTTTTTTTGCAAACAACACACTTGTATTCTTCTCTGTAGCTGAATAACATTCCCAAACCACAGCATGTACATGTAATGGGATTTTATCCAGCCACCTGCTGGTACCAAGCCCTACCTAGGCTCTGATGCAGTCCAGAGGCAGGTCCTGTGCTAGGAAACCATCTGATCCCCAAACTCCAATCCATAACTGTGAGCGGACAGAAAGCCCACGCCAAACATGCAGCATGGTCTCAAGTAACCTGTCAACTTGACAGAAACTAAGATCATCTGGAAAGTGGGGCGCGGGCAGGTTGGAGGGGGGGCAGAAGTGTCGCTCAATTAAGAAAATTGATGCCTCAATCAAATTGGCCTGGAGGCAAGTCTTTAGGGCATTTTATTGATTAGTGGTTGATATGGGAGGGCCCAGACTAGTGTGGGTGGTACCACTCCTGGGCATGGGGTCCTCGGTGGCGTAAGAAAGCAAACTGAACAAGCCATGGGGTGGGGGGTGGGGGGCGACGGGCGATCCAGTAAGCAGCGCTGCTCCATGACCTCTGCTTTGGTTCCTGCCTTGAGTTCCTACCCTGACTTCCCTTCACGATGACCTGTAAGCTATAAAGTGAAACAAATCCTTTTCATCCCATGTTGCTTTTGGCCATGGTGTTTATCATAGCAGAAGAAAGCAAACCAGGATACTTGCCCTTGTGGACAGAACGCGTGTGTGATACTCAATCCTGCCTGGGAAGGAGAATCCCCTAGGGATCTTTGATCTCACTGCAGAGTCTGGATTCAAAACCAATGTCTGAATACATGAGGACAAGATTGAAACTAAGCTCGGAGGAAGAAATTCTCAAACGTTAGTATGACTCAGATTCACCTGGGAGGTTTGCTAAGCCCAGGGTTGCTGGGCCCCACCTCTTGACACTTTTAGAGTCCAAGATATGCATTTTCAACCTGTTTCCATGTCACATTGATGACTCCGGGGACCACATTCTGAACAACTATCATCACTTACGAGAGTTTGGCCTTGATTCCTAGCAATCCCCACAGCCTCTTACCCAGTTTCTCCCAGAACCAAATCACTGGTGAGAGGACAGGCGTGGCCCCCATGATCAGTTATCAGGTCAGTCTCTACCCTGTACTCACTACAGATTTAAAAAAAATCTGCTCACAAAGCTTCCAACCTCACCACAGCTAAGCAGAGTTTCTGTCTCTGTGTCTCTGTATGTCTCTGTGTCTGTCTCTATCTCTCTTTCTCAGTCTCTCTCTCACACACACACGGGTCTCTCAGGCCCCAGGCCTGAAAATACAGTTTTTCCCTCAACACTGAACCCCTCATAACACTGGAGTCTGAAGGGCAGGACTGGCCCCACAGGGAACAGCAGCCTTTGACCCGTGGGTTTCATTGAGGCTTATCTAAGATAAAGTGTACAGACCAGGTCAGCAGTCACATCCAAACAGACAAGAGATAAGTGGAATTCAGAAGAGGAGCCTACTGCTGTTCCGTTTACAAGGCTTATCGTGCCTCTGAAGCATTCCTGAGGGTTTTTTTTTTTTCTGAGTAGGTCCATGACCCCATTGGTTTTCCCAGAATCCATCAAAGGCATTCTTGAAACGGGCAGGGGCTTAGGGGCTGTGCGAAGCTGAAGATGTGGGAAGGAGTCCTGAGGAGTGCTGTAGAAGAAGCAGAACTTCTTGGCTCTCTTCCAAACTTCCAACTCACACTCACAAGCAGTGTTATGTGCCTTGAAGGAAGGCCTCTACTGTCTGTGAAGTGCTCTGTGAGTCTCCAATAAAAGTTTTCTATGACTTTTGAAAGTTAAATATCTTACTACTATTATAACAGTTCTACCTTTTCTCTGTGGAGTTAAGAAGATGCTTCTGTTGCTGCCCTTGGAGTGTTCTGTTTGTCTCTCCCTCCCTCCCTCCCTCCTTTTCTCCCTCTCTCTCCTTTTCTCTCTGTGTGGCCCAGGCTGACTACAAACTCTTGGATTCAAGGATCCTCTTGCCTCGAATTCCAAGGCTAGGACCTCAGGGATAGAGCACTCTACCCAGCTGTAGGGTGCTTGGCAGTGTGATTATTTGACCATCAGTGAAAGGATGGAGGAGAGCCTCCTTTTTTACAGGAAGTGAGCCAGAGTCCATGGTTTAATCTAATGGGTCTGTGGAACTTGCTGCCCAGAAAAAAAAAAAGCCTCATAATTGCTTAGAACTTCATAGCTTACAATCCTACCACACAATTCTCCATAAAGTTTTATAGAAAAGGGATGTCCACAGGGTGGTGGTGGCACACGCCTTTAATCCCAGCACTCGGGAAGTAGATGCAGGCGGATCTCTGTGAGTTTGAGGCCAGCCTGATCTACAAAGCAAGTTCCAGGACATCCAAGACTACTGTTACACAGAGAAACCCTGTCTCAAAAAAAAAAAAAAAAAAAAACAGAGAGAGAGAGAGATGTCCATAGAAGCAGAATGAGTTTGCACTCGGATAATGATATGCGTGATTACCATTCAAATTCAGACCTCCTGACCTCAATCCAGAACTCTTACCACTTCAGGAGAGAGGGTGAAAACAGATCTATGCATATGTGTTCTACCCCAGTCACATTACTGTGAGCTGGGCACCTTTGAAATGCAGCCAAACCCTATCAACAAGCACTAGAAGAACTGTGGATATAGCTCAGTTGGTAGAGTGCTTGCTTGCCTAGCATGTGTGGAGTCTTGGGTTCCATTCTCACCACCAAATGAACCAGGCTTAGTGGCTCACACTTTCATTCCTAGCACCTGGGAAGTAGAGGCAGGAGCATCAGAAGTTAAAAGTCACTCTGGACTATACATTGAGAGAGAACAAACCTGTAATCCTAGCACTCCTGAAGCTACAGAAGGAAGCCAATTCCGGCTAGTCTGGGCTATTGTGGCTAGACTCCAGTCTACATAGTCACTTTCAGGCCAGCCAGGGCTATAGAGTGAGACCCTGTCTTTAACAAACAAACAAAAAAGCAAAGGAAAGTTTAAAAATTTTTAAAGCTTATTAAAATAAAAATGAGATAACCTTGCATACACTACTTTGGAAAGTTTATTATTCAAAGCATAGAAGTACTTTTCAAAGCACGACAATAATTTGCATGACAGATTCTGCCCAGTAGGTACTGCAATGCCTGCCAACCTTAACAGGTTGGGGATGTAGTTTATTTGGTGGGGTACTTGTCAAGCAAGCACAAAGCTCTGGCTTTGATCCCACGTACTGCATAGACTGAGTGTGGTAGAGTACACTTGTAAGACCAGCACTCAGGAGGTGAACACAGGAAGATCAGAAGTTCAAGGTCATCTTCAACACCTAGCTAGTTTGAAGCCCACTTGGACTACATAAGACCTTGCCTCAATAATAACAATGTAATAATAATAATAATAATAATAATAATAATAATGACATTGGGAATAGGCAAAAAGTGTAAGCACCAGGGAACAAGGGGACTTATAGTAATAAGAAAATAAGTACCACTCCCCCTATGTACAATGAATGTTACTATTGTTTATGGTGGGAGTGATGAAGTCAGTTATGTAGAATTAAAAGAAATTTCTCGCCGGGCGGTGGTGGCACACGCCTTTAATCCCAGCACTCGGGAGGCAGAGCCAG